CACCTTGTCATGCGAATTCCTGAGGTCAGATGGCCCAGGATGTGAGTGGGCGTTAAGGCGTCTGGGAAGGATCTCAAAACTGGATTATAGATGGCAGAGAGTTGGTGTCGTAAACCCCTGCCTCTGTTCAAAGATGGTCGCTCACAGTGGACATAGATGCTTCTTTCACTCCTCTTTCAAACCATCTGTCCTCTCTGTCCAAAATGTGAACATTGGCATCCTCAAAGAGTGTCCTTTATCCTTAAGATGCAGATGGACAGCTGAGTCTTGTCCTGTGGAGGTGGCTCTTCTGTGTTGTGCCATGCGCTTGTGAAGTGGCTGTTTGGTCTCTCCAATGTAGAGGTCTGGGCATTCCTCGCTGCACTGTACAGCATAGCCAAACATCAGGATAAGTGCGTCGCTGAAGATAGTGATATGGCCATTCACAATTGCCTGGTCCACAGATAACATGAAGTGCTCGGCTGCCAAAGTAGAGTTTCCTGTTGTGTATTTGAACAAGAGACAAAGGGACAAAAAAAACAAGTCCACACATGACTCAAACAACAAACTGCAATGTTACAACTGATGTATATCAATATACACTGGCATGCAGTTTGGGCCCCCCGGTCAACTGCAAGGAGTCCAAATTTTTGCTGTGGGCCCTTTCCTTTTCTGTTTAAAAAAAATATATATATGAAAATGATTTTATTTAAAATTAAATGTCATCTGTAACTTTATGCCATTTGGAAATTATTTCATCTTCCACTTGCTTAACTGTTCATATGAATCAAAATTTTGACCATAGGTGCCCAAACATTTACATTAAAGCACCACAACTGTGACAGTCGTAATCTTTTGACATCCTTAAATGCAGCACAATACTCGCCTTTACAGCTTACTGAATAAATTTGAGAACTCACGCCACTAATCTGCAGAGGAAGAAAAAAAACCCCTTATAAATCATGAAACCTTCCAAAATCCAAATACAGGCATGCAATGTACGTTTATATGTAGTCAAATAATTCACCTCATCTGCTTAGGTCTACTACCTCTCTACAAAATAAAAGAAAATACTTGGCTTATCCTTTACATGTCCATTACATTTTACAGGGCAAAGCTAGCACAGTGGGCTACTTCTATTTCCCTCACTTCATCACGCAGCACATGTTGGTGCACACGAGCTAGAGTGGAACAGGTCGCCTATTAACTCTTAAGTTGCATACTTAATTTCACATTAAGACAAATGCATCAGTGGCAGCTGTTGTCGTGGGGCCCCTAACGGGTATTAGCGGTGTAGAAACTATCCGCGTAGCAACTGCTGTGTTTACACGGTCACAGAAAGCTGGCAGCTAACAAATTATCAAACAACAACTCTGCTAGCCAGCAAGCTAGCGGCTGGTCTAACTACACCTTATACTGACGGATGGCATGCTTTGCCTGCATAGCTAGGGATTCCATGCCTTTTACCGTCTCAGTAAACTATGAGCCATAGTGGTCAAGCAATTCCAAGTTAATTCTACTAAGCTGAGTTTGATATACTTGCCTTGCAGCAGTGCATGGATGATCTTTCACCAACGTCTCTCTTCCTCCGCGCTTTCCAAGCCATACACGTGACCTTGTGGTTGTTAGTTCAAATTTCTCATGTTGTTATGTGTCCCAACATCCAATAGCATGTCACACTTTTTTCATGACCGTGTCCTTACCCCAGGTGCAGAGGCCTATCTCTGTTCAGGAATGTTGTAAATACTTTGAGATTTATATTAATTGCAATTCCTACCTCTACATTTATTTTTAAAAATATATCATTAGCACAGTGTGGCCGTGCAAGGTTTTATATGTTTTTTTTAGTTTTTATTCCTATTAGTTATATTTTCACTTTTTACCTCTGAATTATTGAAAAAGAGCTAGATGACATTTTCAGCAAAATTATAATTCAAATACTCATTTAATAATTAATTGTTCTCATTATATTTAGATCATTTTTTTATATTTTTCCATAGTTTTACATTTGAATTTAACAGTTCAATCTTTCAAATAATGGACAAATATTTGTGAAAGTATTTTAACAATCTAAATATTCATATGTACAGAAAAATATATTTAAAAAACAAGAGAATTATGTTTTATTACATTTACAGTGATTTTATGTTATTTTACATTTGACATATAAAATCACATTCTATTTATGTAAATTTAATGATATTGTAGGAAAACAGTACAAAACTGTAACATACGCAGTAAAATACTTTGATTTTACAATTTGGTTTTACAGTGTGTGTCTGTATATAACAAAAGACCTTTTCATAATTTCAGATTTCCTTCAACAGGTAAATTTTCACAAGTTGTGGTGAAACAAGGTAAAGAAGGTAAGAGTTCAAGATTTCAGCAGTGTGAAGTAATATTGTTGACAATATATAACATGCCAGAACTATTAGTGCCCCTATGAAAATGTACTTCCCAACTGCGGCTTTCTCTGTTTTGTTGTCCTATTTCTCACGCTTTCATCAATTTAAATTTTACAAGGTTTCTATTGACTAGATTTCTTGTCAGAGGGGGATACTATGAGATGCTGGCAGGGTGAGAAATAAAGGAAAGAAATCTAGCTCCCCATGCCCCACTATTACATTGTGTTAGTGATATGTGACTGTAAGTGTTATTCTTTCTAAAGAGCTTGGGTCAGTCTGAATTAAAATTTAGTTTCTGACAAGTTAGCGTTCCCTGTTGAGATCATTTAATGCACAGTATAAATGGTCGTAATTTAGATTTCTAGTATTTCAGATGTTTTTATTCTGCTTATGAGCTGACTCCAGAAAAGTTCTTATCATAGTTTATATGAAAATCAAAGAGTTCAGTATGTTTGAAAATGTGTCAGAGTAAAGCCATCCATGATAGATACAGTCTGACTTCTGTTTCAGAATTCTTCAAACGTGTCAGATAGCCTGTGCATGTTCAGTTAATGCAGAAAGTCAATGACATGACTGTTTCTGTCTTATTGACATCTACTTTTTAATATTTTTGTTCAATAAGAGGCTCTCACAAAGTGTCAGCATGAGCTCAAAGCTAAGTTGAACAAGAGATTCCTGCATTTGTTGGAAGGGATTGCAGAAGAAGAAGACCCAACCCTTCTGAATCAGATCTACACAGAACTCTGGATCACAGAGGGAGAGACTACAGAGGTCAATGATGAACATGAGGTCAGACAGATTGAAACAGCATCCAGGAAACCAACAGACCAGAAACAACAATCAGACAAGAAGACATCTTTAAAGCCTCACCTGGAAGAGATGAACCAATCAGAACAGTGCTGACAATGGGGTTGGCTGGCATTGGCAAAACAGTCTTAACACAGAAATACACCCTGGACTGGGCTGAAGACAAAGCCAACCAGGACATCCAGTTCATATTTCCATTCACTTTCAGAGAGCTGAATGTGCTGAAAGAGGAAAAGTTCAGCTTGGTGGGACTTGTTCATCACTTCTTTACTGAAACCAAAGAAGCAGGAATCTGCAGCTTTGAAGACTTCCAGGTTGTGTTCATCTTTGATGGTCTGGATGAGTGTCGACTTCCTCTGGACTTCCATGAAACTACAATCCTAACTGACCCTAGAAAGTCCACCTCAGTGGATGTGCTGCTGATAAACCTCATCAGGGGGAAACTGCTTCCCTCTGCTGCCTCTGGATAACCACACGACCTGCAGCAGCCAATCAGATCCCTCCTGACTGTGTTCACATGGTAACAGAGGTCAGAGGGTTCACCGAAACAAAGAAGGAGGAGTACTTAGGAAGAGATTCAGAGATGAGGAGCAGGCCAGCAGGATCATCTCTCACATCAAGACATCACGAAGCCTCCACATCATGTGCCACATCCCAGTCTTCTGCTGGATCACTGCTACAGTTCTGGAGGATGTGCTGGAAACCAGAGAGGGAGGACAGCTGCCCAAGACCCTGACTGAGATGTACATCTACTTCCTGGTGGTTCAGGCCAAAGTGAAGAAGGTCAAGTATGATGGAGGAGCTGAGACAGATCCACACTGGAGTCCAGAGTATTGGGGGATGATTGAGTCTCTGGGAAAACTGGCTTTTGATCAGCTGCAGAAAGGAAACCTGATCTTCTATGAATCAGACCTGACAGAGTGTGGCATCGATATCAGAGCAGCCTCAGTGTACTCAGGAGTGTTCACACAGATCTTTAAAGAGGAGAGAGGACTGTACCAGGACAAGGTGTTCTGCTTCATCCATCTGAGTGTTCAGGAGTTTCTGGCTGCTCTTCATGTCCATCTGACCTTCATCAACTCTGGACTCAATCTGCTGGAAGAACAACAAACAACCTCGAGGAAGCCTGAAATAAGAGAATCTGCTGAGAAATACTTCTACCAGAGTGCTGTGGACAAGGCCTTACAGAGTTCAAATGGACACCTGGACTTGTTCCTCCGCTTCCTCCTGAGTCTTTCACTGCAGACCAATCAGGATCTTCTAGAAGGTCTGCTGACACAGACCAGAAGTTGCTCACAGACCAGTAAGGAAACAGTCCAGTACATCAAGGAGAAGCTCAGTGAGAATCTTTCTACAGAGAAAAGCATCAATCTTTTCCACTGTCTGAATGAGCTTAAAGATATTTCTGTAGCAGAGGAGATCCAACAGTCCCTGAGATCAGGAAGCCTCTCCACAGATAAACTGTCTCCTGCTCAGTGGTCAGCTCTGGTCTTCATCTTACTGTCATCAGAAAAAGATCTGGATGTGTTTGACCTGAAGAAATACTCTGCTTCAGAGGAGGCTCTTCTGAGGCTGCTGCCAGTGGTCAAAGCCTCCAAGAAAGCTCTGTAAGTAAATATACACTCATCAATCAAAAGATAACTTTTTCATCATTGTTTATCAAGAATTCTCTTATTATCTCCATAGATTGAGTAGCTGTAACCTCACAGAGAGAAGTTGTAAAGCTCTGTTCTCAGTTCTAAGTTTCCAGTTATCTAGTCTGAGACACCTGGACCTGAGTAACAATGATCTTAAGGATGCAGGAGTAAAGCTCTGTTTGCTGAATTGGCAAATCCACCCTGTAAGCTGGAAACACTAAGGTCAGATGACATTTCAGTTTTTTATTTTGTTTTTTATGTTATGAAGGAGGTGTTACCTACTAATACAAATCTCATTCATGATATAATGTGATTTAAACCTATTGTTGTTATCACTCTGTGATATTTCAGATATTTCTAACATTATGGCTTTTATGTACAACTAATCAATGTGCACCCAAGATAACAAGCTACTTTAAACACTCAAAATCCACGATTTAGTTTATTTCCAAACAAATTTGAACTTTTTAATTTTTCTCATATAGGGAAATGTCTGATGGGATCTGAAAGAATGTTGAAATGGTGATAATTATATCTTAAAAATGTATTAAATTAATTTAAATGAAGTTGTATAATTTGAGGAAAAGTGATGGGAAAAAAATTAAGAAAATCTCACCACAATATATATATATATATACATAGATAAACATGAAATTATAATGTACAGTCAGTATGGTTTCAGACCAATCAGATCAACATCCATGGCATTAATGGAACTAATTAAAAATATCACCAACAATATCGATCAAAGACAATGTACAGTTGGTGTTTTCATTGACCTAAAAAAAAATGCTTTTGACACAATTAATCATGAAATATTACTTGATAAACTGGAGTACTATGGCATTAGAGGCGTGGTGCTAGAGTGGGTCAGGAGTTATTTGAGAGACAGGCAACAATTGTGAAGGTTGGTGAATATCAATCAGTACCTGGACATTGTTTGTGGAGTTCCACAGGGGTCTGTATTGGGACCAAAACTGTTTATCCTGTACATTAATGATATAAGTAAAGCATCTGATATATTACAGTTTATTTTATTTGCAGATAATACAAATATTTTTTGTGCTGGAGAGAATTCACAACAGCTTATGGAAATTGTCACACAAGAAATGATTCAACAGAAAACATGGTTTGACAGAAACAAGTTATCACTAAATTTGAATAAAACTACATTTATGTTATTTGGAAATTAATAAAAAGATACTGGAGCAAAATTGTTGATAAATAATGTTGAAGTAGAGAAAGTTTCTCATACAAATTTTCTGGGTGTGATAATAGATAACAAAATCTGCTGAAAACCTCACATAAGAGCTAAACTGTGAAGAAGCATCTCTGTTATGAGTAAAGCTAAACATCCTTTGCCTTCCAAATCACTCCAGGTACTTTACTGTACACTTATACTGCCATATTTGGAATACTGTGTGGAAATCTGGGGAAATACATACAATACTTCACTGCAACCGTTATGTAAAATTCAGAAAAAAGCAATCAGGATGATTACTAAAGCAGGAGACCACACTAACATTATGTTCTTGAAATTAAAATCCTGAAGTTTATGGATCTTGTAAAATATAAACTGCGAAAATTATGTAGAAAGCCAGATATAATATCTTACCAGGAAATGTACAGAGGGTTTTTTGACAGAGAAGGGGACTATGAATTGAGGGGAAAATGAAATAAAAAATCTGAAGACTCTTAAAGCACGGACAAAGGTTAAAACCTGTTGTGTTACCATTTTGGGTAAAACTGTGGAACAGCTTTGCTGTGGACCTACAGCAATGTTCCAGCATTAGTCAGTTCATAAAGATGTTTCGAAAACTGCTTTTGGAAGAATACGAAACGGATCAAGTTGATCACCTGTTGTCAATGTAACTATCCTAAAATGTATATATCATTGTAGCTATGGTAATACATGTCCTTCATTCCTTGTTTATTGTGTGGGGTAAGTGATGATGGGAATTAGGGGTAACAATGAACAGTGGGATTTAATAGAATGTTGAGCATGGGGTAGGGACTAATAAGTATGTTATACTTCTTTCTACTCTATTTTGGACTCATTGTAATATGTCATTTAGACTCTATTTTATTTTATTTATTTTCTTTTTTGTTTTGTCTGAGCACATACATGTGTGTATTTGCATATATATTCGTATTTATACATGTAAACACAAGTATGTGTACTTGTATATATTGTTTTTCTGTATATGTCTGAAATAAAGATACAATAATCAATAACCAATTTCAGTATTGACTGAGACACTGAGATAATCCAAAAATATTAGCTAATTTAAAACTTGATTGGAACAATACATCTGAATGAAGTTACGTTAAAGTAACAGAATGCTGGGAAAGTGGTAGTAAATAGAAACTGGCCGTATCAAATATTTGAATGTTGTGTTCCCATTATAACTGATTCTTTGTTTACCCGAGATACAGTTTTTTGGGGGTGAAAATATGAAAGGAAAACCTTCTTTTCTGTCTGTTTTTTTCATGTCTTCAGTCTTTCAGGCTGTCTGATGACAGATGAAGGCTGTGATTTTCTGGCTTCATTTCTGACCTCCCACCCCACCCATTTGAGAGAACTGGACTTGAGCTACAATTACATAGGAGACTCAGGAGAAAAGCTGCTGAACCAGCTTAGACTGGAGAGTATGAGGTAGTAGAGTGTGAAACACTGGAAACATTTCATCTTGGTAGCATTTTGTATTTCAGTAAATTTATTAGATCTGGGAAGTAATTGTCATAGTACGGAAACACATTTAAAGGTTCCAAAGAGGTAAACCTATTTAGCAATAGTATAGTAATGTTTTGAGAGTCCTGCTTACAATAGAATCACGATATTATGGATGGTAAATGGCCTGCATTTGTATAGCGCTTTTCTAGTCATTAAGGACCCCAAAGCGCTTTACACTACATTCAATCATTCACACACACAGGCATGGCTGCCGGACACAGGCGCCACCGGGCCCTCTGACCACCACCAGTAGGCAAACATGTGGTTAGTATCTTGCCCAAGGATATTTGGCATGCAGCCAGGAGGCAGCCTGGGATCGAACCACCGACCTTCTGATTAGTGGCTGACCTGCTCTGCCACCTGAGCTACAGCCACCCAGGATATTATTGTAGCGATCGTGGCTCAAGATATGGCAGTTCGTCTTATAATTGGAAGGTTGCCGGTTCGAGCCCCGGTTCGGACAGCCTTTGTGTCGTTGTGTCTTTGGGCAAGACACTTCACCCGACTGCCTACCGGTAATGGCCAGAGGACCGATGGCGTGATATGGCAGCCTCGCTTCTGTCATTCTGCCCCAGGGCAGCTGTAGCTAGAACTGTAGCTTGCCTTCACCAGTGTGTGAATGTGAGAGTGAATGAATAGTGGAATTGTAAAGGGCTTTAAAGGTCTCGAAAAAGCACTATATACATGCAATCCATTATTATTATTATAGCATACAATAATATATACAATTTAGGGTGAAAAATGTAGGAAACACTCTTAGACTAGAGGGTTTTAGTAAATCTGATTGTAGCTCCTTGGTCTTATTTGCAAGCGATCTGGTGTTGGTGAGGAAGATAGATGAGAGCGTCTCGCTACATTCCTTTATCAGTGTGTAACAGTGTGTGTGTGAGAGCCATGTAATGTCCATGTGTGCATGCTGACTGTGCTGCTCTGACCCCCCTCCTCCTTTCAGGGTGGAGCCTGCTGGAGTCCGATGGTTGACACCAGGTCTGAGGAAGTGTAAGTGTGTTTTTAATGGGATTCATGAAAACAAAGCAGCACACATTCAACCATCTTCATCATGTCAGGAGTCATCATCAAAGTGTCAATCAATGAACAGATGATGGATCAATAACTGCAGCTGGATTGTGTTTGTTCTCTCCATCAGATTCCTGTCAACTCACAATCGACACAAACACAGTGAACACAAACCTCAAACTGTCTGACAACAACAGGAAGGTGACACATGTGGAGGAGGTTCAGTCATATCCTGATCATCCAGACAGATTTTTTTGTCATCAGCTGCTGTGTAGAAATGGTCTGACTGGTCGCTGTTACTGGGAGGTCGAGTGGAGAGGAGAGGTTTATATATCAGTGAGTTACAGAAGCATCAGAAGGAAAGGAGGCAGTGACTGTGTGTTTGGAAACAATGATCAGTCCTGGAGTCTGAGCTGCTCTGATCGTGGTCCTCAGTCTGTCAGTCACAATAACAGTCAAACATCCATCTCCTCCTCCTCCTCCTCCTCCTCTGTCTCTAACAGAGCAGCAGTGTATGTGGACTGTCCTGCTGGCACTCTGTCCTTCTACAGAGTCTCCTCTGACACTCTGATCCACCTCCACACCTTCAACACCACATTCACTCAAACTCTTTATCCTGGGTTTATGTTCTTGTCTCCTGGTGACTCAGTGTCCCTGTGCTGAGTGGAGTGTAAAGAGTGTCTCCTGTTACAGAAACACTCTGACTGTTGAACAGATAGTTCAGTCTGTACATGTCTGTCTCTTTCACTCACAAACACGTTTTCAGATTCATGGATTCAATCAGTTGATGTTTGAAACTCTTCTAAATGATTCCTTGTAAACTTCTTCCTCTTCAGTCCTTTAAAGATGGAAGCTCCCATTATTACAGGATCCACATGTTGTTTTTTCTGACTTATTCCACTCAAAGCTTCAAAGTGAATATCAATATGCTGTGTTTCTGTGAAGCTCAGTTTACTTTAAACCGTTTAGTTACTGCCAGCTATCTTCAGGCTTGTGCTGTGGAGACCTTATCAGTGCACCTTGGCTCTCCTGTGAATGAAAATGGAGAAAGCACATTAAGGACTTTAACAGACTGGTAGAAAACCCTTTCTAACATGTGACTTCCTGTTCACCTGTTGCTATGAGAACATTATTGCATTAACTTCAAATACATATTTGGAGTGCAAAACTGTTATAAGTTAAATGTAATTGCGATGAGTCGATATTATGTTTCTCTGTGAGTTTTCTTTATGTACTACATCCCCTTTGTATTTAAGGCAGACTATGGGTGTCAGAAATTGTTAAGGAAAATGTTCTAAAACACTTCTTCAGTAAAGACTCAGAGAAGAGAAACACACAGAAGTTCTTGCTAGCAAGGGCAGCCTCCAGCACTGAGACTCGCACCGAGAAACTGCCCCGGTCTTTATTTGTACTTCAGTGAGCGTTTGTTCTTTACATTGGAAGTGTGTGTGCGTGTGTGCGTGTGTGCGTGTGTGTGTGGGGGGGGGGGGGTGGGGGGGGTCAGAGTGTGGCCCCATAAACGACTTCCCTTAACCTGCTGGTCTGGAAAATCTAACAGTTCATCTATATGTAAAGAAGCACTTAAACTAAAACAGACATAGCTACGTTAATCCTACCGTAAAACAATAAGACAAAGTACGACCTCTCTCATGCTCCTAGGATGTGGGGGTGAACACCCTAGAGTGTTACAGACCTCCTAGGATGAGACATTCCTTCAATATCCCACCAACTATATACTTCTACACACAAATGATTACATGCAGCATTCTGCCATATGCAAACTTATATCACTAAAAGATTATACTGACTACTAAATACAATTTTCCATTGACAGAAATCTTCCCAAATTTCTCCTCCTGACTGTATCTAATAAAGTATGTCCATTCTAACTGAGAGTTGCTGTGTTACCTTTGTTATAAACTTGCATTTTATGTGTTTGTTTTGTGCAATCAATGCATTTGTTTATGTTAATTGACCAATCCCTGCTGCGATCGGTGCGTGGTTATACAGCTCCAAAGTGACTGGTTCCTACTGGAGAACCCGCCTATTAAATGGAGGCAGAAGCACTGCAGCAAGAGAGATGTCCATCATTTGCTAAGAATCTTGGAGGCTCTTAATCATGTCACTCAGGGCGTGAAATTCATCATCACAGCTGTAACACGATTACGTGACCATAGTGGTAGAGGAAGACCACTGGCTGTTCTGGAGTGTGGATCAAAGAAACCATATTTGCCTAATGTGGATCTGAACACTGCGATACACAATCCACTCATGATCAGCAAGGCATACTGCACATCTGACAACAGGCAGCTCAGTCCAGCTTCTAAGCTGAGAAAGGTATCTACTGCTTCCTCTGGAGGTTCTCCAAATGCCCCATACCGGGAACCTACAAGCATCAACTTTGTCTGGCAGCTCATCGGTTGCCAAATGAATACTGTCAGGGAATCTTTTCCTGGCCTCTTTGTACATCACATCACCTTTATCCAAGACCAGATGAAGGTCAGCTGTAGTCATGTTTTCATTCTCATGAAGGAAAGCAAGAAATGTGAGTGAGTTACATGTGCACTCACTGTTTCTGGAGTCTCCATATTTGGGATGAGCCTGGCTGTGAGATGCACAGACATGTGTTACAGAGGGCTGGTTTTCAATGTTCACTCTTTCTGCATGAGATGGTCCTGCCACATCACTGTGATGGCCTATTTTCACAAAATCAGCATAACCCACCTTGTCTCTGCAGCGCAGGCACCTGAAGGTCTGGACCTTGCCTCAAACACCAGAAAGAAGTAAACCCATACTCAGCATGGATAGCAGCTTATGTCTAGCATGCGCGCCCAACAAAAGTGTTAGCAGGATTAACTGATTAACTGCTTTTCTGTAGACTAATAAGTGGAAGTGGAAGATGAAAAGGGAAAAACAGCGAATGAAAGGATACCTAAAAACAGGAGGAGGGATCCTTGTCTGATAAGATGAGTCCGATATGCATTGGGGCTCTTTTTTCCTGTCTGTAATTTGTGTGTGTTTCTGTCTGTGCTTTAATGCTCTTCACCCTGGGGTTTCTATGCTTTTTGTTTGTTTTGCTTGCTTTTATGTTATTTCTGCTTTTACATGTACTGTTCTGCTGTTTGTATGACACTGTGTAATAAATAACTGATAACAACTCCAGAAAAGGCCTGAAATACATCACCAATTACAAAGGCAATGGGATAAATACGGAATATGGACATCTCATTAGCAGAGAAACTTAAGCCTGCGCCGACCAGCTGACTCCTGTGTTCACCAGAGGATTCAACCTCTCCCTGTCACAAGCCACTGTCCCTCACTGCCTGACATCATCACCAATAGTCCCAGTCCCCAAGTCCACCATCATCAGCAGCCTCAGCAACTACAGACCATCGCAACTACAGACCCATCACACTACAAAGCCAGGACACTGCGCCGATCAACGCCGACTCTGCATTCACCAACGAGCTGAATCGGTTCTACGCCCGTTTCGAGGTTAGCCAGGCAGCTAATGCTATCTACTGCCTGACTACCGAGGACAGTGACGTCATCAGCGAGAGACCGGTGACCAGCATCGCGGAGCATGACGTCCGAGCGGCACTGAGGAGAGTGAACACAAGGAAAGCGGCGGGGCCAGATGGCATCACCGGCCGTCTGCTGCGCTGCTGTGCCTACCAGCTAGCAGGTGTGTTCACTTACATCTTCAACGAGTCCCTGGCGAAGTCTGTGGTCCCCACATGCTTCAAAAGATCAACCATCATCCCTGTGCCCAAGAACAGCAAACCCTCATCCCTGAACGATTACCGGCCAGTTGCACTGACCTCGGTAGTAATGAAGGTGTTTGAGAGGCTGCTGAAGAACATCATCTCCTCCTCCATCCCAGACACCACAGATCCGCTGCAGTTCACCTACAGATCCAACAGATCCACAGAGGACGCCATCGCCCACGTCCTGCACACCACTCTCAGCCACATGGACAAGAAACAGGGTAACTAGTGCGAATGCTGTTGTTGATTACAGTTCAGTGTTTAACACAATAGTGCCCTGCAGACTGTTCACAAAGCTGAGGGATCTGGGACTTAACAGCCGTCGGTGTGCATGGGTGTTGGACTTCCTCACTGGCAGAACTCAGGTGGTGAGGGTGGGCAGGTGCTTCTCCAACAGCATCACCACAGGAGCACCTCAGGGATGTGTCCTCTCGCCACTGCTCTACTCCCTCTACACTTCAGACTGTGTGGCCACCCATGGCTCCAACACCATGTGAAGTTTGCTGACGACACAGTGGTATTGGGTGCCATCTCCAACAACGATGAGGCGGCCTACATGGATGAAGTGAAGAATCTGGCATCGTGGTGCTAGGACAACCACCTCCAGCTGAACGTCTGCAAGACCAAGGAGCTGGTGGGACTTCAGAAGGGTCAGCACAGAGACTACAAGCCCATTATCATCAATGGAGCTCCAGTGGAGAGGGTGCAGTCCTTCAAGTATCTTGGTGTCCACATCTCCTCAGACCTGACATGGGCTGCCCACATTCAGGTCCAGACCAAAAAGGCTAGGCAGCGCCTGTACACCTACGACAACTGAGGAAGTTCAGGGTCTCTCCAAAGATCCTCAGGATTTCTATACAGCGCTGTGGAGAGCATCCTCACACAGAACATGACATCGTGGTTCGGAACAGCTGTGTGAAGGACCAAAAAGCTCTCAGAGAGTATCCGTACAGCAGAACGCTGCGCAGGATTGCTCTCCCCCCGCTTCAGACACCTACACCAGGAGATGCCGGACTAGAGCAGATACTGAAGGACCCGTCCCATCCTGGCAACAAACTGTTCCAACTTCTGCAATCTGGTAGAAGGTTCCGCATCTTCCGGGCAAGGACAGAGAGACTCAAGAGGAGCTTCTATCCCCAAGCCATCCGTGCCCTAAACACACACACCCCCGCCCTCTCACATCATCTATAATTGA